GTAATTATAACAATTTAATTAAATATACGCTTTATATATGTGTGTTCAATGAAGTATAATCAAAATTTTATATACATACACATGCAAAATATTTTGAATATAATTGCTTTACCAAATAGAACACATTCATGTTACCTCTAGTATAGCAAATTTTTCGATAGTGGCTTAATTACAATTTGTAGCAATTTTCTTAAAAGAAATTCCAATTCTATTATAGTTGGACTTTTTTGAATATTTTATATAAATATTTTAGGTTAAAAGTGTTTTATGTAAATATTATAAATTAAGAGTTTTTATTATTACGAACTTGACATGTAGTAGTTCATCTGCAGTAAAGGTCCAGACTTTTTTGAAATAATTAGATGCTTATTATAAACATCTCTGTTCTTCAAAAACTCTGCTTATTTCTCATTGGTGATAGAAAATTGTAACTTGTAAATCTATAAGTACTACGAAGAAAAAAAGCAAATGATAGTAAAAGAACTATTTGTATTATGTCATGCAAATTCGTATTTATTTAATATGCGATTGATCAATTTTATTATTGTATGCAAGTCTTATCAGCATTAAGAACTGACTCGAGTCATTTTTCAATTGATGCAATTTGAAAAATGATTATACAGATGCAGCCAGGGCGGCCCCCCCTAAGTGCGGGTCACGGGTTATCGCCGCCACATTCATGCAATAATAACGTGATGTGTGATCCCTTTGTAGAAATTTTTTATAACGATAACAACGATAAAGATAACGATAACGATAACTATTTACAGCATGTAGTAAATTTTAAAATGTGGTTTATTTGATGATATTAGGTAAAGACAAACAAGAAGACAAAAATATAATAAATGTACTTTGGGTATGTCAACTAATTTTCTAAAACTTTTACGAATCATTAACAGTATTTAGATCTTTTGTGTCATTACTTAATTCTTCTGTTATTCCCGGCTCCTCTAAGCGTGATAGGTACAAAAGGTATGGTTTTCTACTCGTTGGATCCCAAGTTAGTTGTCGGTGTCTTTTTCGTTCTACCTCCTGGATCTCTTCTTCAATTTGCAACAATTTACTCTCTTCCATCATAGCACGTACTTGACGCCAGTTATTAGCTGATTTTTCAATGCGGATTCGCTTGAACGCCTGCTCAAACAAAGGCCAATTAGACTCAACATAAGTACGAGCATCACTTTCTGGATCTTCGTCAATATCTTCCGGAATTTCAGCAGGCACGGATGAATAGATTTCTGCAATTTCTTCATTTTCAAGACCTTTTAAAATGAGAAATGGCGGAATAGTACGACGTTTGAAGTCGCACCTAAGTAGTCGTCGTCGTTTTCCATCAGGTGTATTTATGACCTTTCGGACTAGATGCTTACATATTAAAAAACGACTCCCGACAAAAGAACAACAACTACAAACCCAAGATGAGACATTAGTGAAATATAAACCATCTGAGTTTGTTATTTCTTTAAAAGCATAAAATACAATAAATACTATTTTAAAAATTTGTGTTGATAAATTAAAAAGAATGAAATCGAAATAAAATTATAATAACCAATCAAGAAAATCCAATTATACCAGAAAACCTTGTAAATTTTATTTTTTAATGCTCTTCCAGAAGACTGTGACTCCGATTATTTATTTGAATCCAAATGGTAATAAATGGATCGATAGTATTAATAAAACTTTGAGTTATTGCATAAATTGGAGGAGGATTATAATCATTTTAAGAGGCAATGGAATATTCCAAATAGTTGGAAAACCCGTAATAAATACTGGTATTATGTTTATTCGAATAAATAAAATGATTAATTTATTGGGTATCGTTATTATTTTGTTTGTCTAGTTTCAAGTTAAATGAATTTTGGTGCTCGATACACCTGTCACGTGAGGTCCGAAACTTTTATTTTAC